GGAGGAGCGCGGGCTCTTTTCCCGAACAGCGGCTGGTAATCGTGCCTACTAAAAGTCACGACTCAACGAAAATGCCTTGTGTAAAGTCCCGTGTAAAATGGAAGTATAAAATGCCAATAGAAATAGGAAAGAAAGAAGTTTAAAAAGGTTTCCGATGTGCAGCTGTTATACTGGTGACCGCTGGACTTTCTAAAAGATCTTTCCATTAACACTTGTAGTCTCTTGGTTTCGCCATTATCCATTGTATTATTTTTGCTTGGATGGGCAATAGAACCGACCTAAAAAAATTGATGTTCATCTTAACTTCTTGAGGTTTTTCTTAAGTTTTACTTTCGGTTTTGAAACGTTCGTATTGAAAGACGAGGAGAAAATCCCTCAGGATTTGCTTGAAGGGACTTGACCTAGCAATTTTTAAAGTTCCGCGGAGATTTCCCCCGCAAAGCAAAAAGAGTCACGACTATACCCCCCAGATTCAATATCCCAGCCACGACAATACACGTGCACCCGCGGGACTCATCAAACTTGTTCCCACAATCATACTTGCTCTTATACTCGGTTTCTCATAAGAGGAATTGGAGGAGAAGAAATTCATTAACATTGTTTTCTGAAATAAAAAGGTACCAATAGGGTATTCAGTTAGACCTCGGATTCAGACACGTCATGCAACCCAACGGACCAATGACATGATAAGTGCATCAAGAGCCAATCACATTGCACGCAGTGGTCTGGTGAACCCGAAGGTAAGCTAAATCGTCACAAAAGTTGGCTTTTTGTTCAGATAAGAAGACAGACTGTAAAATTCCCTTTTGTGGAGAAAATGTATCGGACATGGATGACATGCAACCTTACGATACAGTTTGCGGGCTGGCCCATGTTCGTCCAACAAAACATCGAACTTCATTTGTAGTCCTCCCAGCTCGTGGTTATGGCCCATCTTTTGCCGTCAGAACCCTTCATATCTCGAGTCAATCTGATACATATCGCGGAAGTGAACAAAAGTATGGCGGAATAATTATTTACGCCCGTAATGGGGAAACACATTGGCAAACTGATAACAACACTCACTGCAAGAGTGGATATGTGGTAATTATGCAAACCAACACCAAAGCTTTCAAAGATCTACAAGCGAAATGGCGAAACGAGCCAGGCAAAGTACATGGCATCATTTACAGAAAAGCATTTGGGGAATCTTGCAAAGGTATGAAAGTGGTCGGAGAAGGTTTTGGAATAATGAATGGGGAGTTCAAGATCATTTCAAGAGCGTTTAATCCCGTACATGACGATTACCACGACAACAGTTCCGGCATGAATCAAGATTCAGCCCGATATGTAGAGGCAGTTGTCAATATCTGGAAGCGCGCGGGACCCAACTTTCCTCTGAGACAGAATTACAGTGTGTTGGAATTGAAAGACTATTTTGTTTAGAAGATGCTCTCTGATTCTGTCCTTTAGTTTAAACTATGAGTTTTTATAATAACTGATTCCTTTCCCTAGTGTAAATTAAATTCGCAAAAGAGAATTTGTCCACACAACGGCTTCAAGTTATAAACGGTTAAATAACTGTAGTCCTTCTTCGTGCTTGTGGTTATATCCCACAGCGCACTCTCGATTCCCAGAAATTCGTTGTTTACAGATATAGGATACTGAGCGTTACGTCTGCTTCCGCTCTTAGGTGCTGTCTGGGTCAATAAACGTTCTCGGAAAATAATAAATAGTTTGTATTTTTTCAAGGAACCATGCGTGATCCTAATAGCAGACAGCTTTATGAACAATGAAATTGCCATGATACAAAGACGCCACTGACGTGTACCAAGGAATGACTAACAATAATTTTTACAAAAATGTGAAGACTATAATACGTTATTATGATTTGTTTTGATTGTGCTTTGTCATTATCAAGGCAACTAAGGATCGATGGACTTAGATTTGAGACGCATACTTCAAAAAGAAATTGTAAATTTAGTTGAATTTCATCTTCCCCTGTGCGATTTCAGCCTTTGGTTCTGATTAAGGTGCCTTAGTGTAAATTGTATTCGCGAACGGGCATGTGAATGATGTCCATATAAATGTGGGCTTTGCTTCTATTTCACTCAGATCTCAGACATCTTTTATTTACAAATGTCGAGCAATACTTCCGCACCGCAGGAATGATTACCTTTTCGGTTAAAAATGACATTAAGGGTCTGGACCCTCCCCTTAAAAGGACTTGAATGGAATCTCAGGAACGGGGATAAATCCCTTGAGTTGCTTACATTTCAAGAGGGACTTGCCCCTGGGACTAAACCTTTTAAGTTAGTGTTTACACGAAGGGAATTTTCCCAGGGACTAATTCCTTGAAGTGTTTACATGAAGAAACTTGTGCCAGGTACGAATCCCTTGAATTGTTTACTCCCAGATTCAATATCCCAGACGCGTGCACCCGCGGAACTGAATCATACTTGTTCCCATAGCAACAAAAATTGAGAAATTGGAGCAGAAGAAATTCACAAACATTGTTTTCCGGTTAATTAAAAATTACCTATAGTGTATTTAGACCTCGGATTCAGACACGTCATGCAACCGAATGGACCAATGACGTAATGACGCTTCAAGAGCCAATCATATCGCACGCGCTGGTCTGGTGAAACTGAAAGCAAGCTTAGTCGACACAAAAGTAGACTTGTTGTTCAGGATACAAGACGCACTGTGCGCAGGCTAACTGTAAAAACGAAAAGGCATCACAAATGGCGGACGTTGAAGATGATGGTATAGATGGCGGTCTAGCTAACGTTCGTCCAGCAAGAGATCGAACTTCATTTGTTGTCTGCCCAGCTCATGGTT